TATAGTGAATGAAAAAGATATTATATTTCAATGAAAAAGGGTTGAATTATGATGCTAGAAGTATTGTAGAATTGTTTTCAAACTTATGTAATGATTAAAATCATCTAAAAATGCTTATGTCATATTCGGTCAGAGCTAGGTTTTATGAAGGATTATTGAATTTGGATTTATTTTGACATGGGAACTACTGGAATTGCATGAAATTAATGTCAATAGCTTCAATTCATGCTTGAATCAAGTTGACAAATTTTGAATTCTACCCGTAAAATATTCGACCTTGATGAAGAGTTAAGGAAAAAAATTATGAAAATTTTTCCTAAAGTTTAGAATTGATATTAGAATGATTCTACATGTTTTGAAAGTGAATTGGACCAACTTAGAAAATTGTGAAAGAATAGAGACCAACTCACATTGAGAAATCTAGGGATTAATGTGCAATTGTTGAATAATTGATGTATTATGTTGAAATTGGATGTTAAAGTGTTGAATTTGATATTAGCATGTTAATTTGGATTAAATTGGAAATTTGTGAGAATACAAAGATCTTTTCTCAAGTTTTAGAAAATATAAGAATTGAAGTGTAATTATTCAATAGTTAAAGTAATATATTGGAAAGTAAATGATAGGATGATGAATTTGATGTTAGAATGTGATCTTAGGCCATTTTGCAAAGTAAGTAAAGTTTAAGGACCAAATCATAAATATGGAAAAGATAGGGACTTAAGTGAAAATTTTGTAATTATTGAGGTATTATGTTTGAATTAAATGCTGAAAATTCGGGTTATGATAATTGAGGTTTTAATTGAAGTTAATTTGTAAGATTGTTAAGATTAGAGACTAAATTACAAATTTGTATAAATTGTGAAAGAAATGAAATTTGGTATAAATTGATGATTAGAATTTGAACATGTTGTTAGAATGTTTGAATTTGTCTTATGATGCATGAATTTGGGACTAAATGGTAAAAAGAACAATAGTGAATAAAATAGAAGAGTTGAGATGAATTCTAAAAAATATTATCCTATGGAGAGATTAAGGGTTTGGAATCGAACTTGGAAGATTATAAGAGTATAAGAGCTAAATCGTTGGAAGAGGTTAAGAAATTAACTAGTAATTGTGTAATAGTTTAGAATTTTAAGTATTATATTGGAATTGAATATTAAAATGTTGATTTATTGTTGGAACGTTGATTTTTGGGTTAATTTTGTAAGTTTGTTAAAGTTTAGGAACCAAAATGTAAATTTCATAAATTATGAGTTTTAAAGTTACAGAATGAATATGAATATTAAGGCACTTGAAGTCTAAATAATAGAATGGTGATTTTGATGTTAAAATATTAATTGGTAATGATTTGGAAATATGTATAAGGTTAAGGACTGAATTGTAAAGCTGGAGAAATTATGGGTTAAAATAAATAGATTATAAGATGATGTGTGAAGTTTTAGTGAACTATAATGATAAATGATTATTGGAGGGACTTGAATGGTCAATCTGAAGGGTTAAGGTCAACATTGATGTTGTGACATGAAATTAGTATCGAATGAGCATCAAAAGATTTTTAGGAATTTATTTTCTAATGTGTTCCTATGTTAGTAAGACTTTGAACAAATAAAGTGTTGGGATTGTGATGAACCTCAATTGATCAGCCGAATATTACCAAGAGAGGTGAATTGGCCAATTGAAAATTTTGGATATGGAGTAAAAAAAGATAAGGAAATTTGCACAAGGATTTATAGTTGTTCGACTTCTAAACCAAGTCTACATCCACCACCTTAGCTCCACACTAAGATTATTTTCTAACAAATTGGCTGATTTTTTCTTTCTTTTTCAAGGACAATGAGATAACCTTTAAAAAACCCTTAATTTTTTAATGGCTAAACTAAAACCAACCCCTCTTACAAAATGAATAAAGATGTAAACAAGAAAACCTCTAAAGGCATCTCTTCACAAGATTAAGCTCAATAAAACACTAATACTTACAAGAGAAAGGAAAATAGGAATGAAAAACGCTTCTCTTGTGTTTGATTGCTTGGATAAGTGTTCTAACCCTTCTTCAAGTGTCCTCAACTTGTTTTTTAGGTTAGAATGAGTTTGTGGCCGTTTTTAGCCATTGGGATGATTTGGAGTCTTTGGGGATAATTTTTCTACAAAATAAAATTGCCCTAGAGAGGGAGTATTGGTACTCCTTTAATGAGTATATGTACTATATTTATAATTTTTAAATCAACTAGTTTTTACTAGCCGTTAGGTTTAACCAGTATCGATATTATGCTCATGGTACGATATTATAGTGTAAAGTAGTATCGGTACCCCTTTGGGTATCGGTACCTATTTTGTATTCTAGAATTTAAGCTATTTGAAAAGCATTGGTAGTATGGAGACTACCTAGAGAGTATTGATACTTCTCTTACCTTTGATATCGGTACCATGTGAACAATATCAGTAATGTTCATGCAATATCGATACTGTAAGAACAATATACGTACTACTAACCTAGAAAAGCAGTTTTGTGCTCAAATTCTATTTTAATGGACTTTGAATTATTTTTGAAAACTTTTGAAAACTTTGAACAAATTCAATCAAGTCCAAAAATATTTTGCCTTAATTTGTTATATCAAAATATTATAAAACATAGTTCAACATTCTCCCACTTTTTGTTATAACAAAACATTTGAAATTTTGTTTTTGGAAAAACTCTCCCTCAATAAAACATTTAATGGAAAAGATACATATTTTAGAAAACATTAAAGATCCCCCTTTTTCATTTAGAAATTGAAATTTTCAAACCTATACTTCTCCCCCTTTTTTGTAATATAAAAAATAATTCAACTTCAAAGTTCAAAAATAACAATGGATAGTAAGTGGTAAATTTGACATTAAAATCATTTGAAAAATCAAAGCTCCCCCTCAATAAAAGCATTCCAAACAAAAATTTGACTTTAAAAGCTTGACACTTAAAAAACTGAACTTCAACAAAGATGAACAAACAAGTTAGTAGCACATGAAATTCAATATATCCAAGTCTAATATACTTTATGCAATATTAATTGTTGTATTTAAGTGTATGTGCATAAAGCTATTAAAAATGTTATGCATTTGAGAAATTGATATAAATTGTTAGAGAGATATCATTTGAAATAAACCACATTGCATAAGCATTTAAATTAAGGTCAAAAATTAAAATTTGTAAAATCAATGTATTAAAATCAATTTTGACCAAAATTCATTATGATGGACTAAAAAATTATGAAAAAACATTAAAACTTTAAAATGACTATCATAATACATTTTTCAACATACATGAGATGAAAACATAAAATTATTTAACATCAAAACTCATGCATGCTTAAACTAAATGAGCAACCATTATGCAAGATAATTAAAATAATCTTAGAGGTTGCCTATTCCTTGTGAAGTGTGGCTAGAGCATTTGAGTATCTTCACTTTCATCACCATTGCTCCCACACACCTACAAGAGACATTTATTTGGATTTTGGTATCCAAATTGCTTTGGATCCTTGGATGTTAGTTTCAATGTCTCTAGTTCCCTTATTAACCCATACTTTTCTAATTTTAAAGGATTTCTTTCTTTATAGGGCAAGTATGTACATTGTGACCATGAAAATGGCAATGTGAGCATTTTCCATTTTTAAATATGATGAATTGTTTTTAGAAATTAATTCTTTTTCTTTTGTTAAGATTTCAAGCTTAACTTTCAAATCAAAATTTTCTTTTTCTAAATTATTGATTTTGATTTTTGAAAGCTCTAAATCATTTTTGAAAGTTTCATTTTGTTTTTCAAAATCAACTTTTGCTTTCAAAATCAAATCATTTTCAACTCTAAATTTTGAAATTAATTTCTTATATTTGGAATTCAGGGTCTCAAATTCTAAATACAACTCATCATAAGCAATTTGTAACTCATTAAAAGAATAATAATTTGATTCACTAGAGCTAAAAGTTACCATTTAATCTTCTTTGATGGCCATGAAGCATAGGTTGGCTACTTCATCTTTATCATTAGAGTTATCTTAATCACTCCAAGTCGTCACAAATGCCTTCTTCTTACTTGATCCCTTGTTCTTTAGGAGGGGACAATCATACTTGACATGCTTGTTCTTTGACATTCGAAGCACACCGGGGGACCTTCTTTTTATTGGATTCATGCTTCACTTCCTTAGAAGTCATGAATCTTTTGAAGAGCTTCGCCATCTCTTCTTCTTCATCATCATCTTCATCCACCTCTTCACTTGAGTCTTGATTACTCTTATTGGTGGATTTGAAGGCATTGTCTGCCTCCTTCTTCTTCTTGTGTTGCAAACCATTGAGAAACAGAGGCCCCAGACCCGTATCCGCTCTCTTACCCAGTCGACCATCCTCAATTCCTTGAACCCATTCAGCTTCCGTTCAGATAGATTAAAGCTCTCAACCTGCAAGTATTCATTAACTTTTAAACCAAAACCTACGATTCTTTCTGTATGTTTTAGTCTTTATATGTATATGTTTTCGTTTTGGGTTGGTTTCACAGGTCGGATAAGGGGGTTTCTGCTGTTGTTTCTGAAGAGAGTGTTGTTGGGTCCAGCTCTTCTGGGACTGATGTATTCAACCTCACTTACCTAGAGGTGGGTTTCTTTTTCTTTTTGATTTATCAGTTAATTTTCACCCTCTTTTTTGTTGTTGACATGGTTTAGTTTTTGGTTTTTAGGGGAATAGTTGGCTGTGGGATGTAAGTGGGGTTAAACTTTTGGTTGATCCAATTCTGGTTGGTAACTTGGACTTCGGCATTCCATTGCTCTATGATGCTGCCAAGAAATTTATTAGGAATTTCAAGGTTTCTTTTGTATCCATGTTATATATATATATATATATAATTTGCTTTGTTGTTTAGTAAGTGTGTTTGTTGTAATTGATGTGTAACTTCCTTTGTGCAACTTTCTGATCTTCCTCAACTTGGTTGCTTACTGATTACACAAAAACTTGATGATGACTTACATTTAAGGACCTTAAAACCGCTCTCGGAAATGTCCCCAAATCTTAGAGTCATCGCAACTCCAAATGCCAAGCCTTTGCTGCATCCTCTTTTCTGAAATGTGAGTTAAATCATTAATTTAGTTTCAGGGGTTCTACTAGGCATCTGTTACTATTTATGGTTCATGCTCCACTGCATTTTTGTGGTTTGGTTCATTGAATATACCATCATAAATTGATGATAGTGTTAAATGTAAACAATTCAGGACAACTTGTCATTTTATTAATATTTAGTTGTAGAGCATCTGGTTTTAAACTAATTTTCAACCGAATCTGCTACTGTTCGATGTATCCATGCATATGGCTTTACTTCCGTTCACTATTGCATTAGAATCTTTCAGGTCACAAATCTAGAACCTGGTCAGGAGTCTGAAGTTGAACCAAGCAATGGTTCCAAAGTCAGAATTCAAGCTACTCCTGGGCCAGTTCTCGGTCCTCCATGGTAACGACCTGAGAATGGGTAAGCCTCTCCGAGCTTCAACTTGCGAATGTGACTTTAAGTATAACGCTTGTGAATAGTATATAAAAGAGTTAAGATTTAGGAGTGAATTAAGAGAAGAAAGGACGGCAGTCTTGGATTGATTGTGCATATTTGGTTGTGAACAGTACATGAAGATAATTGTAGAAATTCAGGAAAAGCATTAGAAAAGGAAGAGGATTGTTCTTTTGTTAAAAAAACTGTCAAGGAATTTTCCAATCAAGTTCCTCTACGTTTTATCTCGATGTAAATAAATTTCCTAGGTCAAATAAAGATATGTAGTTTGAGCATTTTTAGAGGCGAGTCATGTGTTATGCGTTTACATAAGATAGAAACAAATATTCCATAAACCATATCAATATTAGTAACTCCATTGATATTGGGAATTGAAATGTATATTGTTCATTTTCACTTTCATCTCTGTAAATACCTTGGCAACATTAATGCTATTATTGTTTAAGAAAAATCCTACGGTAAGTTGGACACTTTTGATATTTATTATAAAGTTTATTTTTTATTTTAAAGTCTAATTTTTATTTTTGAAATCATATAGCGCAAGGATGATGAAGAACCAAATAGGATGGATTTCTTCAAGGCAACTCATTATTCAAATGACAAAGGATGGACAACATCTGAGGCACAAGCAAAATATGTAAGACCTCACAAAATTAAGTATTAAATTGTAATTTTCATCTAAGAATTATTTTATTTATGAATGACTTTTTTTAGGAGAAAATGGTGGAGTTGCAATCAACTCCAGCTGAAGAATGAGCAGAACCTAAGAATATAGATGATATAATGGATGAGGTACTTGGTACTAGACCAGGATAAATTTCGGGGCTTGAATATGGGCCATAGCCTAAAAAAGTAAATTCAAGTGCAGATACAATCTAGTTAAAAAAGAGTTTGAAGAATAAAGAAGATGAACTTAATAACTATAAGTTAAATTTTGAATTGATTCAAACTCAAATGGAAGCTATGAGATCTGCTTTGTTAGCTGTTGGAATTCAAGTGCCATCGCTTCAATTTTCAGGTAAACAATATGGTTAATCAAATAAAAATTATTATAGAATATTAATTGTAGTAACTAATGATGATTATTTTAATTTGTAGCTTCAAATGATACCACGAACTCAACATCAACAGAATCACAACCGACTCAAGGTTTGGATCGAGATTGCTACAACGAATATTCCACAAGTCATATTATTATCATATTTTTTTTATGTAAACATTTAAACATTTTTATATTTATAGAAATGAAATTATTATGTTTTTAGTGAAATATTTGTTTAAATCTTATTATTTTGCAATAAGTGAACTATTTTTTTTTTAGATTTGTATAAATAATATTTTAATATATATTGTCATTAAAAATGTGACAATTTTAGTTTTGCCACTATGACCTATATATGGTGACGTTATGCATAATCATCATTCAAAATATTATTAGGTAATGATATATTATGTCACTAAAAATGTGACAATATGTCTTTCATCACATATAAGTTTATTTTAATGCATTATTTGTAACGATATAAATTATCAATAACGAAATTTTATATAATTTAGTGACATAATTAGTTGTCATTGAATATTAATTATATATTGACGTTATATATAAATGTCATTCATGCTACTATTAGGTGACGATATACTACGTTACTAATAATGTGGCAATTTTCTTTTCGTCACGTATACAATGAAATTATTGTGTTATTGGTGACGATATGATTTATTAATGATGAAAATGTACATCATTTAGTGACAAAAGAAATTGTCACTGAATGCAAATTAAACTGTGACGTTATCCATTAGCATCACTATATATTTAACAATACATGACGATAACACATACATAGTCACTTTTGACATTTAGTGACACACCTAGGGTGACGATCATTGTGACATTGACTTTTACGTCACAAAATACATCTAGTGACATAAATTGAAGTTTTAGTGACAATAACCTAGATTCCACTAATAAGAAAATTTGTTGTAGTGTACCTTTATAACTTTTAAATCAACTAGCCGTTGGGCTTAACCATTATCGATACTATGCTCATGGTATCGATACTACAATGTAAAGTAGCATCGATACCCCTTTGGGTATCGGCACCTATTTTGTATTCTGGAATTTGAGCTATTTGAAAAATATTGGTAGTATCGATACTACTTAGAGAGTATTGATACTTCTCTTACTTTTGGTATTTGTACCACGTGAACAATATCGATATTTTTCATTAAGTATTGATATTGTAAGAACAATATCGGTACTACTTACCCATATTTTTGTGCTCAAATTCTATTTTAATGGACTTTGAATTATTTTTGAAAACTTTGAACAAATTCAATCAAGTCCAAAAACATTTTTCCTTAATTTGTTATATCAAAAATATTATAAAACATAGTTCAACATAATGTCTTATATTTACCCCATGCTAATAAAAAAATTAGTTAATTAATAAAAGTTTTGGTTACAAATTTACGAGATCTGAAAATGTTTGGCTAGGTTCAATGCAATTAGGTGTGGCAGAGAAGGTTTAAACCCATGACTTTAGGGTATGTTGTGTCATGCTTAGCCATTTGGCTAAGTCACTATTTTGTTATATTTTAATCAATATATCTTTAAAACTTGTTAGATCAAATTTTAAAACACTCATTAAGAACCGACATCATTCGTCATGGAGAACTTTGCGAAACTTCATCGGAAACCAAGCCACCCACCACTATTTTTTAGAATCTTCGATCAATCCTAACATTTGGTGACCATACTTCCCTTTGACCATTTGACTAGCGTTTTTGTGCATCGCCACCACCGTTGTGTTCCTTGTCAACCCATGACCATAACCCAAGTCCCCTTACTGTAACACCCTCAGACCCATACCCGACCCGAATACGAGTCTGAGGTGTCACATTGACTTTTCAAACTTAGACTCTTGACAAAATTCAAAGAAAATTTAAAACTTTCATTAAAGTAAAAATGGTTTATTTACATAAATTGACCACAATAACCAAAATCGATCAGAGCATATTTAACTCAATCAATTAGTACATGCCAACTATATTCAAATACATAAACACATTTAAATCATCTATTTTATGATCTGAAATTTTGTAAGGGAGATGTGACCTCTCTTGTTCTTCTTTGCTTCTTTTCTCGCTTCTGTAACCTACGTGAAACAATCACACGCTAAGTCTATGACTTAGTGAGGCAAATAAACATATAATGTAAACTATAACTTGTAATCATGCATGAATAATTACTACTATTATATCATACCACTCATATCCTTATTCATGTAACAAATACACTACATACATGTCATTATCATTCATATCTCTTATTCTCTTGTTCATATAATCTCTCATGTTCATATCATATATCTTAACATGTACTCACTTATATCATATAACATATACAATCAAGCAACTATATCATCATCTTCATTTTTATCACCATCATAGATTCCTTTTATCATATGATCTTATAATGACCATTTGTACAATCATATATCACACATAACATTTCACAAGGAAACAAACGTATCATCATATCTAGTTTATTTATATTATCTCTTTATTAGCCCATGTACACATGTGAGAACTAAAGATATGCGAGTACATAGAGGTTGTGCACTATGCTGTCACCACAACTCGTATAATTCCCTCAAGGGGCACTGAATATTTTTCCCGAAGGACCACTGTTTGTCCCGAAAGACCACTAATAATCCTCGAATCTTGGCATGCCAGCTATACCTCTAGCTCTCAAGACACATAACATGGGTATTAATATTTATGTTTGTCACATATTAACACATTCGTATCAAATAGGCATATAGATCCCTTTCACATAGCTTATATCATACCTTCATGTAATCACACATCTCTTGTCACATGTCTTATTATTTCATTTTTATAAGATCACACGTAGTCAAGTAGTTCATTCCCATATAAATCACACATACATGTAGATCACTTGCATGTAGAACATCTTCATAATACTCACATATCACATAGCTTATACTTGTTCTTATATCTTCTCATAACATATTCTCTTATAACTTTCTGTCATATCTTTCTCACCATTTAATTTCACCTAATTAATAGTCATGTGGCTTATCTTATATATTTATATTCACATACCTTATAATTACCTAGTGTACTCCATTTCACACATAGTCACATAATTACGTAATTTACTTACACATAGATCATTTCCATACCTACATCATATAACACCCGATTCTTCCTCATAAAATTATACTATATATTCTTATAATCTCATATTATCCTATAAGTAAATACTTATCTTGTCTCATTTTTCCATTTATTCTGATAATTATTTATACCATAACATATAATTTATATCACATATCTAATATTATTTGTATAATAGGTTAATATATTTATTTAGTTAAATTTTACATAACTCCTATACCATAATTCTCTTTAACTATACTTCTTCTCTATAACACTTATCTTATAGTTTGGCATCATCATTTATACTCAATTCCATTCACTAATATATTATTCTCATATTACTCTATAGTCTAATCTTATTTAACTCATCACCCTTCTCATGTAGTCATATAAATCTATTATATTGATTCTTTTAATTGATCACATTTACTATGTAACATGTATGGTCGCCTATCATATAACCTATTTCACATTCCCATGTAATCATATAGATCATTCATATTAATTCCTATAACTTATCACACTACATGTATTCACACAAATCATTCAATACATACTATAATATATATCACATATACCCAAATCAAACATATGCATATGATCATAAATTCATGCATTCTAATATAGGAAATAGACTTGTCGCAAGTCTTATTTCCATTAAACATCATAAACTAACTTGTATGCACTCACCTTGGCCTCACTAAGTTTCGATCCCCTTTTATGATTTATTTTCTTTCGATCGAATCTTAACTTGATGATCATACCAGAACTTGTTCGTGTTCGATATCTACATAATCATACATTGATACATATTAGTTTCCAATTAATATACTCTAATCTATCATTTCTTAGACCAAAAGAAAGGTTTATTTCTATTTCCCCTTGAAGTGCATCGATGCATTCTACAATGTATCGATGCATCCCTTAACATGTGCATCGATGCACTCCTTATGCATCGATGCACTAATTGCATTTGATGTTTCCATTTTTAAGGGGTGCATTGATGCACTTCCTGTGAATCGATACACACTGAACAATTTCTGGAAATTTACCCTTGATGCATCGGTACATGATGAATGTGTACCGATGCACATTAGCCCAGAATTCCAATTTATGCCCGAAAATCCACTCTTTCAGCTTAATTACTTCATATATCATCCCCTTTCTTATTCTTAACTTACATACTCATATTCAAACTCATTTATATTCATTAATCACCTCTTTAACATCAAAATCCTATTCTCCATATGTAATTCAAAAACTACACTAAATTTTCAATATGTTCCAAATTCAATTATATTGCTTCTAACTTCTTAATTAGACCCTTGACAAGTCAAATTCATCCTTAGAACTTCAAAAACCTTTTTATAATAAAAGTTCATTTATAAACTCTTAATAGAAATTCCTTTCTAATTCTCTCCTTGTTATGTATGGCTCATAAAAAGTCTCGTTGTGGGGTTACGAATTATGTGGGTTGGGGGTGTGGGGGCGCAGCCCCGCGGTACGGTACAGGGTTGATTTTGTAATTTATGTACCAGGGTTTTCTATTATAAATAGAGATGTAA